CTGCTCAGCACGCCACGACAGAGAGGTGGCTTGCGCACGCTGCCGGCGCGAGGAGGCCACAAGTGATATAGAGTATGTGTTTAAATTACACTAGTGTGTGAAAATTGCACTATTATATGTTTATTCATTGCATATTTAAAACTATAATTTCACTGCAAAGTTGTGTGCACATTTTTTATTTTTATTTTCTTCTTAAATGGTAATACCAATGCCACTAGTTAGTCCTTCCTTAAAAAACTTCATTACTTTGATTTTTATGTCTTTATTTATTTTCTTTTTTTGTTAAGGGTAAAATACCAATTCCAGTAACTTATTCCTTCATAGTAAGCTTCTTATATTAAGAAATTCCACTATTATATGCTTATTGTTGCATATTATGATAAAGAGCAATTTCTGTGTAAAACTTGTGCAAATTTTGTAATTATTGTTTCATGTTTTGAGTTTTGTTTCTTTTAAAGGGTAATGAAACTGCAACCAATTCACTCTTTCTTAGAAAATGACATTATTTGATTTTATTTTATTTTTATTTTATTTATTCTTTGGTGTAAAATACTAATACCACAAACTCATTCCTTCTTAGGAAGATTTTTTTTAATATTCCACTATTACTATGAAAAAGCACGAATTATGTTTATTTTTTAATATTTTATCATAATTTATCCTTTTTATTATTATTATTTTCTTCTTCTTAAAGGGTAATAATAATGCCACTAATTCATTATTCCTTAGAAAATTTCATTATTTTTATTTTTATTTGCTTTATTTCATTTCTTTCTTCTTAAAGGTAATACCAATGCCACTAATTCATTCTTCCTTATTGCAATTCATTATTTTAATTTTTTAGTTCATTTTCATTTTCTTTCTTCATTAGGGGTAATAAAAATGCCACTAATTTGTTCTTCCTTATAATAATTTGTTTTTTATTTGTTTTAGTTTTTATTTTACTTTCTTTCTTCTTTACAAGTAATACAAATGCCACTAATTCATTGTTCTTTGTAAACTCCATCACATTGATTTTGTAAGCTTCTATTTCATTTTCATTCTTCTTTAAAGGTAATAATAATGCGACTAATTAACACACTCTTAGAAACTTGTTTTTTGTGAAACTATTAGTGTAATATAGTAACTCTTGCATATTTTTAAAAATTGCAATTTCTGTGAAAATAGTGGGAAAATTCTGTCATTATTTGATTTATTTTTTATATTTTATTTCTTAAGTGCAATACCAACATCATTAATGCATTCCATCTTAGAAACTACTAATTCATTGGTATCACAACTATTTCAATTTTCTTAGAAAATTTCATTATTTTGATTATTGTTTTATTTCATTTTCTTTATTTTTAAATGGAAATTCCAGTGCCACTAATTCATTTACCCTTACAAAATTTCATTATTCTGAGTATATTTTAGTTTCTTTTTTCATTTTCTTTCTTCACTAAGGGTAACATAAATATCACTACTTCACTCTTCCTTATAATACTTCATTTATTCATTTCTTTTACTTTTTTATCATTTTGTTTCTTCTTCAAGGGTAATATACCAATGCCACTAATTCATTCTTCCTTGTAAAGTTTCATTATTTTTGTTTTGTTTTAGCTTTATTTCATTTTATTTCTTTTTTAATGGTAATAACAATGCCACTAACTGATTCCTTTTTAGAAAACTTATTATTTTGTGAAACTTTCACTATTATGTCCTTATTCTTGCATATTTTCAAAAAAGCGCAAATTTCTTGTAAATTGTGTGCAAATTGTGTCATTATTTGAGTTATTTTTATATTTTCTTTCTTTTTAACGGTAATACACATTCATTCTAAGAAAATTATTAATTAATTTGTATTTCCACTAATTAATTCCCTTTTAATGGTAATTTATATATTTATTTTCGTTCGTGTATTCTTTAAGGTGACACCACCACAAGTATTAGAGTTTTAGGCAACCGACTCTTTTTCCTCTGTTAAAATTGTACTATTCTATGCTTACTGTAGGTTATTAATGTAATTTGTGTGAAAATTATGTGCAACATTTTTTCAATATTTGTTTCATATTTTTCATTTTCCTTCTTCTTTCATGGTGATGCCCCTAATCCATTTTTCTTTAACAAACTATTTTTTTTCTGTTTTTTCATATTTGTATAGGTGGAATGAGAAGGCTAGAGAAAATTGAAGTTTTTCATTCTATTATGTTACACATAGTTTCATAATATTATTTTTCCTTTTTAAATTTATGTTAGTTTAGTTTAGAGTAAATCCACGTGCATGATTCATTTTATTCTTTTTTTGCGGGGAGATTGATTTTATTGTTGAACATGAAACCAACAAAAGTATTAGATTTTTAATCTAATAGTGCATTTTTTCTTCATTTCTAATCTAACGTTTGTGTCAGACTTCATTTTTTTGTTGTTGCCGGTAGCGGCTTAAAGGTTAAGAATGTTTGTGCATTGCCTCCAGGACTATCAATCCCCAATTCGGGTACAAAGTTATGTGCCTTTTGTAAGAATATGTTGAATATTCGGTGTGGTCCGTACAATTTACGAGAATGATTCTAATATTGCATATTCGGCAGCGGCTTTCTTCTCGGAAGCAACGGTCCGCCGGGCCCTCCTCTGGCCGATTCAATGTCGAGCTGCATGACCTCCGCCAGTGTGAGCTCGGACCGCTCTTTCTTGCTCTTCTTCTTCGCGAGGATGGCGGTGGTGGCGGCGTGGTCGCCGGGCTTCTTCGGGGCGCCGACCATGAAGGAGGGGAGGGGGATGCGTGGGAGGGTTTTTGGGAAAGGGAGGAAAAGTGGGCGTGTTGTGTCCTAGATGGGCCGGTCAGGGGAGGACAAGGGCGTGCGTCCCCCCGTCCACACGCTGGTGCTCAAATTTGGACTGGAAATGCGTCTGTGGCGAACAAAAACTAGACATTTGTCTATTTGCTCCCGCACGCTGGGCCACAATTTATTGTCCATTTACTCTCAAATGAATGCGGCCGGACCATTTGGTGTCCTGGGTTGGAGTTAGTCTCATGAATGCCAAATGACGTGGGACCTTGGAGCTGGTATGCATGCATGCATGTGCAATGGTGCAGCGTTCGCATGGTTTCCAGTAAATTCCCGTATTCCCGTGTGGAGACGGCAGGAAACGACTGCATGCATGCATGCATCCATGGACGTACGTGCTAGCTACTGTGGATTCCGGTGGGCAGCCCGAAATAAAGCTTGGATGTGCACTCTGCATTACGTACTAGCCATCGTGGTCTGCTATGGTGGGCGAGTGCATTGATGCTAGCAGACAAGCAGATGAATGCTTTGGTACGACCGTCAGCGAGATAAAGACCCCGTTGCCTGCATTTCCAACGTATAGCTTCGTTCATGAGTCGATCGTACGCGTACCACTATGATCGTTGCGAGCGGTGAATCATTGAGGCCGCGTGCACCGACGAATCGAGTCCTACATTGTGGCTACACATTATTAACTAGAGTGTGTGTCCTACCGGAGACCTCGCCGTATCCGAGTTTGAAAGCTCTGGATGCATAGAGTTGCAACCTGTCACACGCCTTTGTTGCACACAGAGATCGATCGGGGAAAGACTACAATAGAAGCTGACCATAGGATAGAAGAATAGAAAAACAAATCTGGAGCATCGGATGTTCAATGGGCGCTTCAGATCCGGCACGTGGGAGCTGGTGGGAGGGTCTTTATTGTATATAGCAATTACTCACGGCGCTTTCCGCAAAAGTACAGAGAAATCACCAGCCTAACATTTCAAATCTGAAGTCTCCATTAAGGGACTGCATGTTTGTTTCATCGCCAGCCACGAATCATTGACTGGCTACGCCTCATGCACCGACGAATCGAGTACGTACATGTTGGTGTGTGGATGACATGATGCAATCAGAGATGCACTCTTCATAGAATTTTCAAGAGTACTACTGGTGCTTCGTTGAACCCAGATCCTGAATTAATGATAGTCGTTGTGGAGGAAGAGGAACAAATTGAGATGGGAATTCTAAATCTGAACAAGAGGAAATGTTGACACAAATACCGGTGATAAAAATGTAAGTGGTCATGGGATTACAGTTATTTCAACAGGTGCACATGCACAATCTGCCAGTGTTGATGAACATCCAGTTTTGCTTCTTTTTTTCAAATTGAAGATTATGAAATTCACTTTCTCAAATTGTGTAATGTACGATCTTTGAGCACGCGAGAGCAGTCAATTTTTATTCTAATGCCTCCATAGCTTATTGAAGAATTATTTGAGATCAACGATGACTCAAGAGAGTTTAAATGGTTTGCCAACATTATGCATTAAGAAGAAATTATTGGATGAGATTGATATCAACCCCATCATAAGTTTTTTTTTGAAACGTAGACCCCATCATAAGTGACTTTGCATAGGAATGTCTGAAAGGTAACATGTATCATTATTTCATATGTATAATGTTTTGGATAGATTTAAGTGTTTATTGTTAACATGTCATATACACACATAGTTATTATTAGTCCCTCTGTCTCGTAATATAAGAGCGTTTTTTACACTAGTGTGGGGCAGAGGGAGTGTATTTATATTGTTTATACTAAGGACCTCGAGTTTTGGTTTCGCCCCGGCCCCCCAAAATCTCAGGACCGGCCCTGCACCAGCGCCGCTGCCGTTATGATCACTACTGCTGCCCAGATGCAAATGGTTAGTTTGCATGGAATTTGCATCTCAACTTCCAATGAATTAGCATGGAATTGCATTCTGAAGCGACGAGCAAGTTAAGTTAACGGGTACTTCCTCCGTCCGGAAATACTTGTCATCAAAATAGATAAAAAGATATGTATCTAGATGTATTTTAGTTCTAGATACATCCCTTTTTGTCCATTTTGATAACAAGTATTTTTCGGACGGAGGGAGTAGAAAGTAATTAATCAATACGGGGTACATGTTATCCGCACGGACAAATGATACAAATAAATCCGTAGAAATAAAGAGAGGGCTACATTATTCTTTAATCAGTTTTCTAATAAAACTACCGAGGATACCTTGAGGATAGCAAGAACTCTTCTTCCATACTATATTGTCTGCTTGATTCTTTCATATTGGGATGACCTGTAGTTGGGCCACTCGTCGCAGTACCATGGTCCTCGGATCTCTCGACCAATACATTATCTATTATATTCCTCTTGAATGCTTGAAGACCCTCCAGTGTCAACTCCACATGTCTCATTGTTGGACGATCCTCCGCTGTTAATTTTAGGCATGTTAATGCAAGCTTAGCCACTTCTTTTACTTCTTGGCCTCCCTCATCCACAACTTGTGGATCTAGTATCTGTGGCAAATTGCCTTCTGCAAACAGGGTAGAAAAGTGTCCAACAAGGCCATCTCCTTCAGAAGATAAATATGAGAATGGCTTCTTTCTAGTTAGCAGTTCTAGAAGCATGACACCAAAGCTGTAAACATCACTTTTCTCCGTCAGCCTCCCCGTGCTTAGATACATAGGGTCCAAATATCCTCTTGTGCCTTGTACTATTGTTGTTACACCAGTTTTATCCAACGGAACGTACCTTGATGCTCCAAAATCTGCTACCTTTGCTGCTAGAGTATCATCCAGAAGTATGTTAGCAGACTTGATATCTCGATGGATAATAGGCATTGATACAGTCATGTGAAGATAGGCTAGTGACTTGGCTGTCTCAGTTGCTATTCGCAACCTATCATCCCATGACAGTGATTTTGGTTCATGGGTGTGCACGTGATCGTAAAGACTTCCATTGGATATGAACTCATAGACCAACATGGGGACTTCCGTTTCAAGGCAACAACCATAGAGTTTTACAACATTTCTATGATTTATTTGTGATAGGATAGCAACCTCATTGATGAACTCGTCAATCTCCTTCTGAATCACCATCTTTGGTTTCTTGATGGCTACAACCTGGAGGTCTGATAAAATCCCTTTGTAGACGGTACCATGCCCACCACCACCAAGCTCGCGGGTTTTGTCAAAATTGTTCGTTGCCTTCTCTAGCTCCTCCAAGGATATAATCATTCTTTCTGCAATATCAGCTCTTTGAGATACCAATTGCTGCAATAGTCGCCCACGATTCTGCTCAAAGAACTTCTTCTTCAACATTTGTTTTCTTTGGTGCTTAAGCTTTTGTGTGAAGAGGAATACAATGAGGATCAAAATAATAGCTCCAGCCCCACTGGCAACTCCTATTCCGATGGTAGCACCTGAAACTATACACACAAATGTTTTTCCTTAATGACAAAGTTTAAGGCTATCAATTCATCGTGAAATATGTTTTCATATGGTATATACTTTCTCAAAACATGCATTTGCCCCAGTTTATAGATAAGGTCACATAGCCAAACGATACAAGGTTCTAGGAAACCCTCTTACAATGTTTATCAAAGAAAAGCTAGACTATACAAGGTGAGCTCCACCAACATTGCACTAGGAGTGCGTTGCTGGACATCACACGCTTGCCGTTGAGAGAAAGCACAAGTGGCAGAACCACCCAAGAAGCTACCTAGGCATCTGCAAATAAAAGAAATCGGGACTCCTGTAAGAAAACATTGGACTTCGTCGCATCGTCCCCTACCGAACTGTCAACGGAGTGGACCCCCCTCCTCTCTCCCTCTCTCTCTCTCTCTCTCTCTCTCTCTCTCTGGACCATGGAGCACCAATGATGCCTATGAGAAAACAGAACCTCACAATTTTATGCCATGGACCATGGAGCACGTGTGGGCGTTAGTTTTTCCGTAATTTTTTCATGCAAAGCCGTTCAAATTTTACAAAGTTTGAATTCGGATGAAAACGTGTATGCGGTACAATTTATCAACAGGAAGGAGAATTTACATCCTTCAAAGTAGCATATACACATATGCAAAAATCCTATTTCCGCGTACTATTACTTCTACAAAACTTTTACTACCTGGAACAAAACGTGGAAAACTAGTATAGCGTAAGAATATCACCGTGTACCTGTGGCGGACTTGATGCAACCACCTAGTACGGTGTGGTTGCCATGAGTTCCCCGAGGGCACCAGCAGCGGAACGTTCCCGGCAGGTTGGTGCACTCGCCGAAGCAGCCGTATTCTTCTGGCTGCTTGCACTCGTCCACATCTAGACACAAATTTAACGCTAAATTGAGATAAACTCCGATCGACGACCTTGTACCTCGGCAAGATGATTGTATGGAATCGAATGCAGCATGTACGTACCTTTGCATCCACCGTCGCCGGCGACGTAGGGGTTGCCGTCGTGACCTATGTAACAGGAGCAAGAGTAGCCTCTCTCCCGTCCCGGCATGCAGTAGCTGTTCCTGCTCTTGCAGACGTCGCGGTTGACATACGAGGGGCAGTCATCACCGGGAACGGGGCGACGACCCGCCGGCTCCCCGGCAACCTCGACCACCCAGTCCAGTTGAACCGGAACCTCCGTCGCTTCTTCCAGGACCAACCGCTGCTTATCGTACCACCCCTTCTCGGCGACGTACACGCGCGTCTTCTCCCACCTCTCGTCCACCGTGCGGTTCTGCCCGAACCATTTGAGCCGCGCGTCGAAGTTCATTCGCTGGAACGGAGAGATGATCTCCTCCTGGCAGCAGCCTTTGCCGAAGCTGCACGCCTTGTGGCTGCTGGGAAACTCCATGCTGTCGGCGGAGTTGGTGCAGATGGAAGCGCAGCCGCTCCGGGTCAGGTTGGTGTGCTGCTCCACCAGCGTCGCCACCACGTTGCAGCCGGTCACCACGAGCTCGCTGGTGTAGGCGGACAGCGTGAAGGGCCCGTCGTCCCTGAGGCCGCCGCCGAAGGCGCCCGTGCCGTTGGCCTCCTCCTGCACTTTGATGTCGCCGCTGCGTAGGACACGCACCGTGGAATTGTGTGCCCAGATGTGGTCGACGCGGAGGGTGCCGTCGCCGATCAGCAGCGTGTTGCCGACGCAGGTGAGGTTGAAGCCCGGCCAGTAGCAGCCGGGACCGATGCCGAACGGGTAGGGCACGGCCACCTTGCCACAGCTGCGGGTGCAGTTGTCCGGCGGCGGAGGAGGAACCACCACACCAGCTGCTGACAGTGACGAGACCGAGAGCTGCAACGCCAACGCTAGCAACAGGACCAGCGATGCACCTGCTACCGAGATGCTACCTTGCGGCGCCATTAGTTGCCACAAAGTTTGATAGATTCTTCTTGCTTGCGCTTAGTACAACTGTTGTAAAAACGGATGATTAAATACTAGAGTATGCACAGCTAGCTAGCACAAGCCCGATCGCCACAATTTATACATAAAACTAGCAAAGTGATGTGCCGTGTGCGCGGGCAATTTCTCAGTCAACTATATTATCTTCATCCGCATGTTCTCCTCCGCATATACTATATTATCTTCATCATTGATTATATCATGATCCTAGTTAGAAGTTTCAGATCTAATTTGTATGTGCAAATTCAGGGCAACTAGGTCCGCGGTTCCGTTGTCAAGAAAAGGAGCAATCCATTGCAGTCCTAACCTTTGTTTGCAAGCAAGCAGTGATGTTATTGATGACGTCAACACTCAATAAATCAATTCTCTTTGTGTTCGCTTCTTCCTTGGTACACCATCCATCCTGGTTTATTGGCTACCCTCATATTTTATGTCAAATTTTAACTAACAAAATCTAAGTTGTAAGTCACAAAATTAGATTTGGATTTATACTTGAAAAAAATATTTCAGTGATATTTTTTTATGGTAGTATATAACTTCATCTAAGATCAAAGTTCAATCCAAAATAACAGAAGGTCCATTAAACTCGGACGAAGTGTGTAGTACATCTTAGTGGACTAGGAAATATACAGTACTCCTTTCTTTGGGAGGAAAATGTTAAGCGGGTGAAATACAATACTCCTTTCTTTGGTGGGAGTATTAGTCATCAATCCGTGCACCCTACATAGGCTGGTACACTTTCTTCCTTTCTTTGGTGGAAAAACGGTAAGCGTGTTTCTTTTTAACAAAAGGTCTATGTGATGTGTTCAGTTCAATCGTATGTTCTAGGTCTCTTAAATGCACTTGTAAATCTATTATTTAATCCTAGCCATATAACTGTGATCCGACGGTTCTTACAGTTGTTCTTCCGAGGATTAGATTAGATGCTCGAAAGGTACCTCCAGTTAGTAATAAATACATTTAAATTAGCATTCTATGAACACATGTTTGTTTAAATTTATGGCAAGCGTCCCTCAAATAAATATTTATAGCAAGCATATATTTCTTACACTAAGTTATACTCCCTCCGTTCCTAAATATAAGTCTTTCTACCTACATACAAAGCAAAATGAGTGAATTTATATTCTAAAATATGTCTACATACATCTGTATATTGTAGTCCATTTGAAATGTCTAAAAAGGCTTATGTTTAGAAACGGAGGGACTAACTTATAACGTGCACACAAATAATGACACACCGAGTCATCAAATCGCCCACACACCAAACCCGGCGAAGAGATTAGCATGTACCATGCCAAACAATTGATGCTCTTAGAAAGCAGATTCAATGCTCATCAGCATCTAACTTGGTCATTTTGACCGGTGAAGAGATAAGAGCAGGAGACAGCCGCGCCCTAGTCCTTCTATTTGATTATTGCAGGCACTTGAAACCGGAGACTAAGTAAAACTGCGTGCGTGTCCATGGTGTTGGTAAGCAGAAGAATAAAGTAAATACGGATATACAGACGGATGAATACAGAAAAGATGTTTGCTACTTCTAAGTTCTAACTTCTAAGTAGTTGGAGAATCTTTTCAAAGTATACAACTATTTAGTCATTGCTGAATAAAAATATTTACCCAAAAAGGCTTTCGCCCCGCTTTATATTATAAAGCAAACCGCCGAAGCCAAGCATCCAACAAGGTTCAACAAGTTCACACACGCACACGGAGGTCCACAAGAGCACAAAGAAGTCATAAGGGTTAATGCTGAGGACACAGCTCAACAAGCCCTAAAAACAAAACACACACTCCACACAGGAACCCGAGCAGCATGTAGTCAGGTTCCGAGGGAGGAGGCGGCAGCAGGGGCGCCACGCGGAGAGCCATCGAACGAAGGTCGGCGAGGAGGGTGGTCATGACGTCCCGGTCCTGGGGGCGGCTAAGCGGCTGCCAAAGCTGCAAGTAGCCACACATTTTAAAGGTCGCGTCAGTCGCACGTTGAAGAGGCACTTTCTGAATAACAAGCTTATTGTGGATGGTCCAAAGCGTCCAGACGAGGACCCCAACGCACAACCATCTAATATGGCGGTAGCGAGGGGGAGGCATTGAGCTCCACAAGTAAGTCGGGGAAGTTGGTGTTGCACCACTGTCCACCGACGATCTCGCGGAAGCAAGCCCACAGGAACTGGGCAGTGGAGCACGAGAAAAAGATGTGGTTAGCATCTTCCACCATGCCACAAATGGGGCACATCCCATCGCCTGGACCATTACACTTGAGGACTTCAACCCTAGAGGGGAAGCGTCCACGGATCCATTGCCACAGGAAAATCTTGATCTTCAGAGGCAGGCGGATGTCCCAGATCAGGCTAAAGGGCTCCGGGACCGTCGAGGGAGCAATGGCAACATACAAGGACTTCGTGGAGAAACGGCTCAAGGCGCCAGGAGAGGGAATCCGGGGCATCCTCGACGTCCATCGGCATAAGGGCGATGTCCTGGAGGAGGGAGTCCCAAGCAGCCACCTCTGGGGGGGGGCAAGGGGCGCCAGAAAGCGAGGCGCCCTAAGTCAATAAGGGCCGTCTCGACAAAGACCGAGGATCAACCGCAATGGCAAATAGTTCTGGGAATCGAGCAGCAAGGGGGAAATCCCCTAACCAACGATTGAACCAGAACAGGGTCGAGGACCCGGAGCCAACCGAGATGGACGTGCCAATGCGGAGGACGGGCAGAAGCTGGATCACCGACTGCCAAAACTGGGATCCACCAGAGCGCTAGCAGAAGGCAAGAGGTTGGCCCCTGAGGTACTTATTACAGATGATGGTAAGCTAGAGACCTCCCTCCCCATTGGCGATACGCCAAAGCCAGCGGGTCAGGAGAGCAATGTTCATGCTCCGAGAGGACAAGATCCTAAGGCTACCCTGGTCTTTGGGTTTACAGATGTCTGGCTAGCTCACCATATGGTACTTCTGCTTGTCCCCCTTGCCAGGCCAGAAAAACCAAGACTGGTATTTGGCGACCTCCTGATGGAGGGTCTCATGAAGGCCATAGAAGCTCATGAGAAACAAAAGTAGGCTAGCAAGCGAAGAGTTGATGAGGATTACACTCGCCGCTTTTGACAACCAACTCCCCGTCCAAGGCTCAACCCGGTGCTGCATCCTAGTCACAGTCGAGTGGAGGTCAGCTACGATGAGCCGGGGGTCGCTAATGGGTATCCCCAAGTAAGTCGTGGGAAGGAACCCAGGCGGCAGTTCAGCCGGTCAGCAATGGACTGAGCCTCCTCCAGAGAATAGCCAAGGACCATCACTTTGCTCTTATCGAAGTTAATGGTGAGTCCAGACATCTGTTGGAAGCATAGGAGGAGGAACTTCAGTGTGGCAATGTCGGACGCGGATCCCTCAAACATTAAATAAAAATATTTACAGCAGCCTATATTAGTAATAAGATTGTCAAAACTTGCTTACTACGCGAAAGTATAGCCAGCTAGCTAGTTACTGCTCCCTACGGTATGATTTTACATTTCTATACACAACACGGGGAGTTTACTGGACAACTATCCTAAGTCCTGGGATAAAACCCTGACTTGTTGTTTATTCCCTATCCACATCTTGATAACCTTATATATCATCAAGGCAACATATCTACTGTGCTCGGTAAATCATACTGCCGGGTTGTACTTGGACTAAAAGCCAACATCTCAGGAAGTAGCTATGATTTGTTTGTTCCCAAAACAAGTTCAATCTCAATAGTAATCATAATGTTAATATGCGCACGGCCACATATACACATACTCTTTTGATGTGGCAAACTTGTTTGAGAATGTACTCTTAATGAACAACCATTATTAAATGTAATAGTGGTTAAATTAACATCAGTTGAACGATATTTTCAAGAAATCATGTGCACTCTACCATAACATAAAAAAATATGAGACCATCCAGAACTAGCCCTTGGAGGTATATTTTTATAGAAGAAATTCTCTAAGCACCCGGGTCACCTCCGGACTCGAACCCGGGTGGGCTTGCTCCCACCGAGAGAGCCAAGCCAGCAGACTCTACCATAACATAAGGCCTGGGACGCTGGGGAATGGTCCAATATCCAGACTGAATCAAATCCAAAAGGCATACAATTTGTTAAAAGTTCTACGGAAATGTTAACGCCCACACGTGTGGGCGTTTGCACATCGCCCACACGCCTCCATCACCACTCATTTTGCCACGTATGAATAGATGATATCAGCATAAATTTTTTTGGTTTTCGGCTTAAAAATGTTGTATCTTCTAAATAAAAAAGTGAACTAAAAATCCGTTTTCACCATTAAATCCGTCTCGACGAGATCTTCAAAACTAGACCCATGTTGATATGTTTCGACGATTTTTTTTTGCCAGAAGTTGCCACGATGTTTACACTGCAGTTGCTATAGGGCTTAAACTAAAGTTGCCATGTGGCAATTTTAGTTTGTAGATCATGGTAATTTTAGTATTTTGATGATGGCAATTCCAGTACTTTGACCATGAAAATTATTTTTTGTATGAATCATGGCAATTTTACGTGCATGTATCATGGCAATTTTAGTTTATGGTTCATGGCAAGTCTAGTTTCTTAATTCCCCGTTTTATAAATGTCCAAATTTACTTTTAAATGTAGAAGAAAATAGCTGGAACATATCATGGCAACTTCAGTGTAAACATCATGGCAATTCATATGCAATAGACATGGCAACTTTTAATCCAAATTTTTTTTCATCAAAACATATCAACATGGGATCTAGTTTCGAAGATCTCATCGCGAGGGATTTAATGGTGAAAACGGGTTTTCAATCGGATTTTTCGTTTAAGAAATAAAACATTTTAAAAACTGAAAATCCAAAAAATTTCATGCATGCATGCATGCGATGACGTGGCAATCTGTTTACATTAGAGACGTGTGGTGCGGATCAGGCTTGCCTGCTCCCTTTTCATGCTCCCATCCGTGCTCCCACCTCATCC